CCGGATCCATCAGCTCGTCAGCCTCCAGGAGCTCCTGCTGGATACCCTATCCTCCCCGAATCACCAGGAGAAGGTTTCAGTCCAGTCAGCAGCTCCCTCGTCTCAGGGCCAGAGAAGCGAGCCCGCGGTCCACCCAGCAGAGCTCACCGGTCTCCGAGCTGAGCTGGCCCAACTCCATCAGAGCCTCAGTCTCCAGGAGCTCCAGCTGGACGATCTGTCCTCCCTGCTCTCCCAGTTTCCGGCACTTCCAGTTCGGTCCGCTCCAGTGCCGGCGGTGACCCAAGAGGCTCTTCCCCCGGGCCGGCCAGCCCAAAAGTCGGCAGCTCCATCTCCACTCCAGAAGTCGACGGTTCCGGTCCGGAGTCGACGGTCCAGAAGTCGACAGTCCAGAAGTCGACGCCCCCGGACCAGAAGTCGACAAAGGTCGACACCCCTTCCAGTCCAGAGGTCGACACTCTTTTGTGTCCAGAGGTCGACGCTCTTTTGTGTCCAGAGGTCGACGCTCCTCCGTGTCCAGAGGTCGACGCTCCTCCGTGTCCAGAGGTCGACGTCCCCTCCTGTCCAGTGATCGATGTCCCCTCCAGTCCAGAGTTCGACATCCCCTCCAGTCCCGTGGTCGACGCCGTCTCCAGCCCAGAGGTCGATGCCGCCGGACGGACGGATGGATTGATTAACAAATAAATGGATGGAAGGTTTTTAAAGTGGTGAGCCAGAACAACCCTGACTGAAAAAGACACAAGGGGTTCAAGCATGGGTTCACTATGGGATTTTATGGTAATTCTGCGAATAACACAAATGAGTGATAAATCTGTGCAAGTCCGAAATAATTTGTTCATTATAAATGCTTATCTTGCATTTGTACTACAGCTTTAAAGCTCCTGGTACCCAGATCAATCGTAACGTGCTGCTGCAGCTGCAACAGTCCGAAGTTTCGTCTGACAGATGATGAGAATGCTAACTCCAGGGAAAAAAGCAGCAGCCTGGATTTTAAACAGCGACCTTCTTGCTGCGAGGCAACGATGATATCCACTGCACCACCTTGCAATCCTTCAAGCCTTTCTCCTAAAAACTGTTTTAGAGGATTTACATCACCATCTTGTTTCTAAATCTTCAGATCTTCAGATGTTGTTACTGAAGGTCTATCCAATGATGATATTGATTGATTGATTACCGGCTTCTGAAGGCAATAGCAGCAATTCCATCAATCCAGCGTTCCTCCAATTGGTCTTCAAGGTTCCATCTGAGACTGGACCACAAGAGGGGGGGCAGTCGGATCAACGAAGGAGTCGGAGGAAGGGAGTATTTGTACACCTCACTGATGATATCATCATCCAGGGACATTACGTCACGCAGCTCCACCTCCAGCAGTCCTCCTCTGTGGCATCATTAGAAAAAGACAAACAACTTCCAAGAAAAGAAGAATCACCATGAAACTGATCAAAGAGCAGCTCAGAACAGACCCCCCAATCCAAAGCTAAAACAAAAGAATGTAAAAGAACTAATCAAACATCAAAGTATTCCATGGAAAATCAGTTTTCAGATCATGGTTTTTAAAGGAAAATTACGTAAATAAATGGTAACTAGCACGCAGCCCTGAGGACCACCTTTGACCTTTCAAGAGGCTCTTGATCACAAGTTTTAACATTTTCCTGGGAGGTATGATGTCACGGAAACTAGAGGAAACAAAACAGCTGAGAACAGCATGAGAGGACCAAGCTGAGCAACCATCAGCACTTCACGCAACACCTCCTTCTCATGCTGAAAGCAACAGAACACCCCACCCCTGCACTCCATTGTGGAGTGTCCCCTTCCCCTCCTGCTGTTTAACTGCAGATGGAGGGAATGTGGGCAGCACTGTCTTTGTTCCCAAATACAAACCTGGATAACTGAAGCAGCCTCGACCGCATTTACCTTTTAAGATCGTTAATTGTAAGAAACAGGAAATTGTTGAAACGTTTTTCATATGCGGAGTTTTCTTGTAGTGTTTGGAGAAAAGCAGAAATCTGAGAAGAATGAAGATAGGTACCTGAGCTTTTCCTCACCTTGCCAAAACAATGTATCCTAAGGCCCCACCCACCAGCTCCTTCCCGTGTTTTTCCTCCAGATTCTGCAGACGCTGTGACATGACTTCCTCCATGCTGGCACCCAGCGACAGCGCTGTGCGTGGAATGAAGGAGGTCCAGCATTTGGCTGCACACAGGATTAGCCTCAGGTGGAGGGGACATCTGGTCTCCTCGAAGCTCTGCAGCACAGCGTCCTTCTGCTCCTGAGTTAATGTTCTCTGACAGGCTCGAAGGTACGACTCTATGATGTGCTCACCTTCTTCTTGAGACAAACAGTTAACCTCAAAAAAACTCTGCACTGTGTCAAGCTTCAGCCTCATGTTTGCGAATGCCTCACTGGTGGTGTCCATGGAGACCAGCAGGTGGACATTTGGTGGGACATCAGCAGGAAGCCAAAGTAGTTTGTGTGCATGATGTTTGTCCGCAAGCTGCTCCAGAGAGTCCAAGACAATAAGCAGAGTGTCTCCCCGCTGAGACACATCCTCTAGCATGTTCCTGAAGAACAACAGAAGCTCCAGGTGGGTGCCAGCTGTCAGCAGAGGGGGTGGAGACAGACCACATGCCAGACAAACCTGCAAGCAAATGCTGCGAAGGACATGATCAATGTCAGGTCTCTGAGGATGCTGAGCATCCAGAAACCTGATTACCAGCACAGCCTTGGACTCCAGGACATCCTGTATCTCCTGCACCACTTTACACAGCAGAGAAGTCTTCCCCATGCCGGCGGCCCCGTGGACCACCACTGGCTCATGACGAGTGGCTGTGGACTCCCACATGGCGAGGCAGATCTTACCCAGAAGCCCCTCTCTGCCATAGACACCTTTACTCAGTTCAGCACCCATATTGGTGTGCTGCCATGCTTCTTCAACCACCCAGTCTGACAAGTCTTCTTCTTGCTCCATGCTTCCCCAGATCTTTCTTCGCCTCCCTGTCTCTGAATGACAGACTGCTGCTTCAATTCGGACCTTCATTTGTGAGACAAACTGCTGACAGATGCTGTCCAGGTACTGAATGTGTTCTCTGCACTTTGGGTCGATGCTTCCCTTTCGGAGCTCCACACGGTGCAGACTGAGGATATCATGTGATGTGGCATAGAGCCGTGACTTCAGCTTGGTGAGGAGGTCCTGAGCTTCAGCATCTTGTAGTCCATCAATTGTCACATCCATGAACCTGGCAAGACGTTTGGGTCCGTCTTTTATCCTCTGTCGAGGAATTTCCCGGATGAAGAGCAAAGAGGACAGTTCACCGTTGTCCGTCCACAAACCATGCTCGAACTCCTTCTCTGTGACTGAAGAAGAAGCATACCTTTACCTCTCAGAGACAGAAGAAGATGAGCAGAAGGACATGTCCGAGCTCTTACCTGATGTGTAGAAGGCTTGTTTCTGCTCAGGCGTGATGTCTCCGGCTGCCGATGCTGAGGCAGCCGCTGTGCGGAGGAGCTGTAAAAGCCGTCTCTCCGTGAAGCACCAGGAGAGAACGCTGTTGTCATGAAGCTGACTGTGCTCAGGTCGAAGGTCACAGTAGTAGGGATATTGGGCTGTGACTGGCTGAAGGACAAAACTGGGTGGGACAGCATTGTCATCCTTTTGATACCACTTGCACAGCTGCTCTATACCTTCAGGGTTGTTGGAGAGTCTGGATAGAAGAACCTCAAACTGTTTTTCTGGGATGAGATGGGGAAGATCTCGATGACCGTACCGGTTCCCCAGAAGGCCCTTTGGAACCCACATGCAAAAAAGTTTAAGAGAACAAGAAAATGTTCAGGAATCTCGATAAAATAATGGTTCCACTGATACCTCCTAAACATCCAGCCGAGAAACACTGTCTGACTTCGTCCGACGGATTAAACATTTTAGATTTGGAGGAGAGATTAAAGTGTCCAGCTTCAACTACAGTAGCAGTTTGGAGGATTTTAGGATCCTCCTTCTCACATATAAAGCCCTAAATAATGCTTAGTATGAGGATTGCTGTATAGACTCTGACACTAGTCAGTGACTTGATGCAACCTGCTGGGTTCCTTATCTAGGAAACTTTTTACTGATTGGCTTAATGACCTGACCTGTATTGGAATATTTACTGTGTGAAGGTCCTTGAGACGATTCTGGTCCTGATTTTGCGCTTAAAAATTTTTTTTTGAATAATAATAATAATAACAATCATCGAACTTATATAGCGCTCGTTTAGGACACTCAAAGATGCTTTTGTGTACATTCACATTCACACACTGCTAGTGATGGTAAGCTACTTTGTAGCCACAGCCGCCCTGGGGCGGATTGACAGAGGTGAGGCTGCCATTTGGCACTGTCGGCCCCTCTGACCACCACCAACACAGGCGAGTTGGGTGAAGTGTCTTGTCCAAGGACACAACAGCAGAATACCCCTGGTGGGAGCTGGAATTGAACCCATGACCCTCCGATCATGAGGCAACCCGCTCTACCTCCTGAGCTACTGCTGCCCCAAACTGAATTGAATAACAGTGGAAGTTTATCCCATGCTGTCTAATGATTTTACCAATTGGGAGCATATGTATATTAAAAAGAATTGGTCCAAGCACTGAACCGTGTGGTACTCCACAAGTAACCCTGGAGTACAAAGAAGATTTGTCATGTACATTTACAAAATGAAATCTATCAGACAGGTAGGATTTAAACCAGCCTAACGCTGTTCCTTTGACCCCTACAACATGTTCAAGTCTTTCTAAAAGAACATTGTGATCAACTGTGTCAAAGGCAGCACTGAGATCTAACAAGACTAGAACAGACACAAGATTCTTATCTGAGGCCATGAGAATATCATTTGTAACTCACTAATGCAGTTTCAGTGCTGTGATACTCTCTAAAACCAGACTGAAATTCCTCTATAGTGAAATTTACTTTCATGTCTCGAGAACTCAGTTATAAAAAACTCAAAGGTTATCAGAAAGTGGTCCAAGAGGACTGGATTATATGGAAAGATCGTTATTTCCTCACACTGTATGCCATAAGTCAGCACAAGGTCCAATGTATGATGGCAGGAGTGGGTGGAGCTATGTATTCTTTGAGTAAAACCAATTGAGTCTAAGATATTACTAAAGGCTACATTGAGGCTATCATTTTCAATGTCCACATGAATATTAAAATCCCCCACTACAATGACCTTATCAGTATTTAGCACCAAATCAGATAAAAAATCAGAGATCTGATCCAAAAACTCAGAGTAAGGGCCTGGTGGACGATATAAAACTACAAACAAGAGTGGTTTTACAGTTTTACAATCTGGATTAGGAAAACTAAGAATAAGATGTTCAAACGAACTGTAACTATTAATCTGTAAGGGACTGATTAATAAGTCTGAATGAAAGTAGGTTGCTTCTCCTCCTCCTCGCCCTGTACTTCGAGCAATATGATGATTTAAATAATTTGAAGGAGTCGACTCGTTTAAGCTAACATAGTCCTCTTGCTGCAGCCAGGATTCTGTGAGAGAGAGCAAAGAGATCTGATTATCACAAATCAAGTCATTAACTAACAAAGTCTTAGAAAAAATGGATCTAATGTTCAACAACCCACATTTAATTTTTCTAGTTTTCTGCTCAGTTGAATTTGTTCTAATATTTATGAGATTTCCAGGATTTGCTTTATTAAGCCTGATATTTAATCTGTGTTCCTTGGAGAGGCTTAATCCAGTTTTTTAGGATAAGCTTCCTTCAGTTTCTCTCCTCCTTTTGTACATTTAAAGTCTGATTTTAGCTGATGGATCCTCTGTGGACTAGCTCCACCTTCATCTTACCAGACAGGTGAGGTCAGTCAGCAGGTCTAGAGGAGCCTTGAGAAACTCGTCATGAACTTAATGTAAATACAAAAATATCTGGGAAGTGGCAACTGCTTTATCAGCAACATCAGGGGTGATTGGTTACACAGATCAGCATAATAATGAGCCATTGTGACCAATGGTGACAATGACTACGTTTACATGCAGCCAATATCCGGGTTATGATCGGGTTAAGGTCGGTATTCGAGTTTCTGAGTTGATCAGAATAACCCGTTTACAAGCATAAATAGAAAGAGTTACCCCTAACTTGCATAACCCGATTTAAATGCGGACGTTGGGGTAGCGTCAGGACGTATGGACTACGTCCCGACACAATATGCGTCATTTCCGGTTCTTCTTGTTCCGGTATCCGTGAAAACAACAACATGTTTCCCAGTTCGGAAGAGATAGCGACCGCGTTTGTTTGTGCTTTAGTTTCTTCGTCACTCCAAAAGTGTGGTGCTGTGCCGCGACTCGCCATGTTGCTCCCAACTTGTTGTTTACTTCCGGTGTTCTGGCGCATACAAGACGTCTCGCTACTCAAAAGACCAAGATTCCTTGCGAACAGAGCATGTGCAGAACACACGCTTTGATGGGGATATCCCGGTATGCGTTTACACGACCAAACATTCGGGTTAGAAAAGGGTTACCCCAGGTGTAGTAACCGGGTTTTTAAAAACCCGGTTATGAGCATATCCGGGTTTTTGGCGGTGTTTACATAGCCGTGCGGAACCGGGTTATTGTGATTATTCGGGTTTTAAAAGGGTTACTGGCTGCATGTAAACACATTCAATGTTACTGTCCCATCATGTAAATTACTGAATTTAATTGGCACAGATCCAACCAATCACAGCTCATTCAAATTCTAATTATGGCCATTGACATGTGAACTGACCAAGCCTAACTCCTTATATAGGAAACGTTATTTCTGATTGGCTTGATGAACTGACCTGAATTGGAATGTTTATTATGTGAAGTGCCTTGAGACGACTCTTGTCGTGATTTGGCGCTTTATAAATAAACTTGAATTGAATTGAATTGAATACTAGTAGTGTATTTACTAGCAGTGTATTTACTAGTAGTGTATTTAGTAGTGTATTTACTAGTAGTGCATTTACTAGCAGTGTATTTACTAGTAGTGTATTTACTAGTAGTGTATTTAATAGCAGTGTATTTACTAGTAATGTATTTTCTAGTAGTGTATTTACTAGTAGTGTATTTACTAGTAGTGTATTTACTAGTAGTGTATTTAATAGCAGTGTATTTACTAGTAGTGTATTTACTAGTAGTGTATTTACTAGTAGTGTATTTACTAGTAGTGTATTTAGTAGTGTATTTACTAGTAGTGCATTTACTAGCAGTGTATTTACTAGTAGTGTATTTACTAGTAGTGTATTTACTAGTAGTGTATTTAATAGCAGTGTATTTACTAGTAATGTATGTACTAGCAGTGTATTTACTAGTAGTGTATTTACTAGCAGTGTATTTACTAGTAGTGCATTTATTAGCAGTGTATGTACTAGCAGTGTATTTACTAGTAGTGTATTTACTAGCAGTGTATGTACTAGCAGTGCATTTACTAGCAGTGTATTTACTAGCAGTGTATTTACTAGCAGTGCATTTACTAGCAGTGTATGTACTAATAGTGTATTTACTAGCAGTGTATTTACTAGTAGTGTATTTACTAGCAGTGTATGTACTAGCAGTGCATTTACTAGCAGTGTATTTACTAGCAGTGTATTTACTAGCAGTGCATTTACTAGCAGTGTATTTACTAGCAGTGTATTTACTAGTAGTGTATTTACTAGCAGTGTATTTACTAGTAATGTATTTACTAGTAGTGTATTTACTAGCAGTGTATTTACTATTTACTAGCAGTGTATTTACTAGCAGTGTATTTACTAGTAGTGTATTTAATAGCAGTGTATTTACTAGTAGTGTATTTTCTAGTAGTGTATTTACTAACAGTGAATTTACTAGTAGTGTATTTATTAGCAGTGTATTTACTAGTAGTGTATTTAATAGCAGTGTATTTACTAGTAATGTATTTACTAGTAGTGTATTTACTAGCAGTGTATTTACTAGTAGTGTATTTACTAGTAGTGTATTTAATAGCAGTGTATTTACTAGTAATGTATTTACTAGTAGTGTATTTACTAGCAGTGTATTTACTAGCAGTGTATTTACTAGTATTGTATTTAATAGCAGTGTATTTACTAGTAATGTATTTACTAGTAGTGTATTTACTAGCAGTGTATTTACTAGCAGTGTATTTACTAGTAGTGTATTTAATAGCAGTGTATTTACTAGTAATGTATTTTCTAGTAGTGTATTTACTAACAGTGAATTTACTAGTAGTGTATTTATTAGCAGTGTATTTACTAGTAGTTATTTAATAGCAGTGTATTTACTAGTAATGTATTTACTAGTAGTGTATTTACTAGCAGTGTATTTACTAGTAGTGTATTTAATAGCAGTGTATTTACTAGCAGTGTATTTACTAGTAGTGTATTTACTAGCAGTGTATTTACTAGTAGTGTATTTACTAGCAGTGTATTTACTAGTAGTGTATTTACTAGCAGTGTATATACTAGTAGTGTATTTACTAGCAGTGTATGTACTAGCAGTGTATTTACTAGTAGTGTATTTACTAGCAGTGTATTTACTAGTAGTGTATTTACTAGCAGTGTATTTACTAGCAGTGTATTTACTAGCAGTGTATTTACTAGTAGTGTATTTACTAGTAGTGCATTTACTAGTAGTGTATTTACTAGTAGTGTATTTACTAGTAGTGCATTTACTAGCAGTGTATTTACTAGCAGTGTATTTACTAGTAGTGCATTTACTAGCAGTGTATTTACTAGTAGTGTATTTACTAGCAGTGTATTTACTAGTAGTGTATTTAATAGCAGTGTATTTACTAGTAATGTATTTACTAGTAGTGTATTTACTAGCAGTGTATTTACTAGTAGTGTATTTACTAGCAGTGTATTTACTAGTAGTGTATTTACTAGCAGTGTATTTACTAGCAGTGTATTTACTAGTAGTGTATTTACTAGCAGTGTATTTACTAGCAGTGTATTTACTAGTAGTGTATTTTTTAGCAGTGTATTTACTAGTAATGTATTTTCTAATAGTGTATTTACTAACAGTGAATTTACTAGTAGTGTATTTATTAGCAGTGTATTTACTAGTAGTGTATTTAATAGCAGTGTATTTACTAGTAATGTATTTACTAGTAGTGTATTTACTAGCAGTGTATTTACTAGCAGTGTATTTACTAGTAGTGTATTTACTAGCAGTGTATTTACTAGTAATGTATTTTCTAGTAGTGTATTTACTAACAGTGAATTTACTAGTAGTGTATTTATTAGCAGTGTATTTACTAGTAGTGTATTTAATAGCAGTGTATTTACTAGTAATGTATTTACTAGTAGTGTATTTACTAGCAGTGTATTTACTAGTAGTGTATTTACTAGCAGTGTATTTACTAGTAATGTATTTTCTAGTAGTGTATTTACTAGTAGTGAATTTACTAGTAGTGTATTTACTAGTAGTGTATTTACTAGCAGTGTATTTACTAGTAATGTATTTACTAGTAGTGTATTTACTAGTAGTGCATTTGCTAGTAGTGTATTTACTAGTAGTGCATTTACTAGCAGTGTATTTACTAGCAGTGTATTTACTAGTAGTGCATTTACTAGCAGTGTATTTACTAGTAGTGTATTTACTAGCAGTGTATTTACTAGTAGTGTATTTAATAGCAGTGTATTTACTAGTAATGTATTTACTAGTAGTGTATTTACTAGCAGTGTATTTACTAGTAGTGTATTTACTATCAGTGTATTTACTAGCAGTGTATTTACTAGCAGTGTATTTACTAGTAGTGTATTTACTAGCAGTGTATTTACTAGTAGTGTATTTACTAGCAGTGTATTTACTAGTAATGTATTTTCTAGTAGTGTATTTACTAACAGTGAATTTACTAGTAGTGTATTTATTAGCAGTGTATTTACTAGTAGTGTATTTACTAGCAGTGTATTTACTAGCAGTGTATTTACTAGTAGTGTATTTACTAGCAGTGTATTTACTAGTAATGTATTTTCTAGTTGTGTGTTTACTAACTGTGAATTTACTAGTAGTGTATTTATTAGCAGTGTATTTACTAGTAATGTATTTACTAGTAGTGTATTTACTAGCAGTGTATTTACTAGCAGTGTATTTACTAGCAGTGCATTTACTAGCAGTGTATTTACTAGTAATGTATTTTCTAGTAGTGTATTTACTAACAGTGAATTTACTAGTAGTGTATTTATTAGCAGTGTATTTACTAGTAATGTATTTACTAGTAGTGTATTTACTAGCAGTGTATTTACTAGCAGTGTATTTACTAGCAGTGCATTTACTAGCAGTGTATTTACTAGTAATGTATTTTCTAGTAGTGTATTTACTAACAGTGAATTTACTAGTAGTGTATTTATTAGCAGTGTATTTACTAATAGTGTATTTACTAGCAGTGTATTTACTAGCAGTGTATTTACTAGCAGTGCATTTACTAGCAGTGTATTTACTAGTAATGTATTTTCTAGTAGTGTATTTACTAACAGTGAATTTACTAGTAGTGTATTTAATAGCAGTGTATTTACTAGTAATGTATTTACTAGTAGTGTATTTACTAGCAGTGTATTTACTAGCAGTGTATTTACTAGCAGTGCATTTACTAGTAGTGTTTACTAATGTGTTTATATATTTCAGAGGCATTACAACACGGACAAATTTGTCCTCGATTCTCCTCCACCTCTTCATGCGGTCGCAGCCTCTGAACCATGCTCTAAACCCACGTGTCCCGTCTTCTTCCGGCTCTTGGAGAGTTCAGAAGCTTTGTTCCTCCTCTCCTCCCTATCTTATCCCAAGGCTCTTTTTCTTTGGGTGTACGGCACTTCTGCATTTTTTCTGGAAACTGGAAACTGGAAATTATTAAAAATGGACCTGGTCAGTTGCTCTCTCAACGCGATTGACAAATATTTTCAACGATGAGAATGGGAGAAGGGGCTCCCGGATGCCCCTCTGGGACAGAGCCAGCTGGGCATGTCATGGACTCCTAGAAACAGTGGAACCTGATCTGCCTCTCTCAGCTGTCTGTGGAGGATTCTGAAGACGTCTGGATATTCGTGGTGTTGGCGTCAGGTTTCGTGCTGTTTAGCCTCAGCGGTTACCTGGCTTACCGGAAAATTAATGAGCTGTCGAGGAATATTGGCTCAATCCCGGAGCTCAGGGATGGATTACACCGTGCTGTGAACGCACAAACTCATATAACTGTTGAGATGAGTCGTAAGGTTGGAACTTTGGCTGAGATTCAGACTCTGGCACAGAAGGTGGATTCCATCGAGGAGATAGTTGAAGGATCAGCATGGATTGGGATAGATGAATTACGCCATTATTGGGTTCAGAGGGGTTGAGGACCAACATAACTTTAAGACAGAGATGAAATTATCTCTTTCTGGCCCCAAAACAAGTTCTTATCTGAATCTGGTGCCCTTGAGCCTGTGAGGCTGAAGCGATTACTGCCCCTCAGAAGAAATGTGGAATGCTGCCGTCGCCATGGTAACTCTGTCTCTCTATCCCAGCCTGTGCGGGACTGTGACCGGTGAAGGCCGTTGAATCGTTTCCAGGAGTCACTGTGCTCTCTAACCCAACTACCTCCTTCAATGTCCATACAGAGGTGACGAGTGCTGCTTATCGTGGCTGCATGCACTGATGTGAGGAGAGTCCCAAACCCTACCTCCCCACCTAGTGGACACTTATGTTGTGTGATGTCTGAAGTTTGTTGCATTTCTGTCTGAGGTGTTTTTTTGCAGAGCAAAGCTGCCCTCCCTGTGGAGGGTAACTCTGAAGTGCCTTTGTTCCCTTCAAATGACCCAATCCTCATGTAAGCCCTCTGATCTCTATTAAGGTAGCGCGACTCGGGTTGTGAATGACCACAGTTATATGCCGGTATGAATGCCTGATCTCAGAATTGTGTGTACTGAAACACTAATTTCCCTCTGGGATTGATAAAGTATCTTTGAATTGAATTTGAATTTCCATCCACAAACAGAACGTTTGCTCCGTATCTTCATACTTCTTCAGTCGCGGGTGAATAAATGTTCATATTTTTTTTACTTTTTACACAACCTGTTAAGTGTCTGCCACTAAACACTTTTTTACTTATTGACAGAGCTTCGGTGGTGCTGTTGATGATTTTACAGGAGGCAGCATCCTGACCAATCACAAGCTTGCGGTCTCTGTCACTTTGACAGATATTTAAAAATTGGGGCATACCTCCGTCACCCTCTGCGAGCCCGTCGGAGAGCTCTTGCGCAGACGCATAATGGTGTTGCGCGTCCCTGCACTGACGCAGACAGAGACGTGTAAATCAGGCTTTAGCACTGTGGTTCATCTCCAGCAGCGTCTGGTACAGAGAAACAGGAACTCCACAGTCTATGATCAGCTGTGATGATTTGGCCTGGAAGTGTGGCTTTACGTGCACCAGGGGCGCAGGCGTGGCCAAGACTCGGCTGCTGTGATACTCCTGGCATCACACGGTACTGCGTAGACAACATGGCTGATTCAATGCAGAGCAGAGTTTTAACCTGAAGAGGGCGCCACACTGGCGGTGGCTTTGGTTGAATATTTAAATTTCAAATAAGAGACACTAACATGCCACTTGTTGACAACACAAATAGGAGATGAATTCATACAGTTTGCTGAATTGGCTGTGACTTGCTCCTCACAGAAAGACTGTGAAGCTTTGAGGAGATATGGAGCACAAACAGAAGAGAGACACTTGGCTTTTTTGTCGAGCATTTTAGTTGGAATTATTAATCCCAGCCTCACACAGACAAGAAATATGTCCAGTAGGACTCATTTAAACCACTCACAACAAAAACTGGACCCGCTGACAGTCTCCTACACGTCTGAATTTCCTTCAGGAAGATCTCACGAGCCTTGTGGTCTCCAGACAGGACGTTTCTGATCCCCCAGCGTAGATCCACCACCTGTACAGGAAGTCACCTGTCTGGTCACCGATCAACTGTTTATCAACACAAGAAAACTACAGCGATGGAGCAGCTTTGATGCCTCAGAAGTTGTGTGTTCTACAGTATATGTTCTCAGGATAGGTGCTTCACATGAACAAGAACTCTCTCTCTGTGTGTGTGTGTGTGTGTGTGTGTGTGTGTGTGTGTGTGTGTGTGTGTGTGTGTGTGTGTGTGTGTGTGTGAGCATGTGCGTGTGTGTGTGTGTGTGTGTGTGTGTGTGTGCGAGTGTGTGTGTGTGTGTGTGTGTGTGTGTGTGTGTGTGTGTGTACACAGTGGGTTGTGTTAATCTTCCTGTATAAATAGTTTGTTGTTATGATGAAAACATGAACTTAAATACATCTTTTAGGAGACACACAGTGAAACAACGTTTATAGGATTTACAGTTTAACACAGCTAGACAGGTGCATAAAACCAGCAGATCCTCCTTCAGCAGCAACAACAGCCTCTGAACTTCCTGTAGCTTCCACTGACAGTCTGGATTCTGGCTGAAGGGATGTAGGACCGTTCTTCTCTACAAACAGCTCTGGTTCATGAAGGTCTGATGATTTTCAATAACAGTCAGGTCTGGGGACTAAGATGGCCGTTCCAGATCGTTCTACTTGTTCCTCTGCATGTGTGCCTTCGTGTTTTCCGACGTGGGGTTAGATTTTAAGCTTGATCCGTGCTGATTTTCTTTGGCTTCCAGTCTGCTTCACCAGCAACTCGTCTAATTTTACAAATGCTGGTTGTTTTGGATAATTATGTCATTTTCTACTGAGTTACAATCAATCAGCTGAGTGTCCGCTCAGCTACTCAACCAGGATGTTGGGAGACCCTACCGCTGAGCAGGTACTAGAAGTTTCTCGAAGACGCCCAGTCAAATAAATGCACGCGTACGTCGGAAGGTTCCTGTGAATCTACCCTGAAGTACCGGTAATAGAAACACAGCTAACAAGTGGAATCCACGCGTCTCTCAACTTTACCAAGATTCCCAGTCCCTGCACCTGCCACACAGCCCACAGCATGATGCAACCTCCTCCATGTTTTACTGCAGTAGCAGGTGTTCTTGTTCCTCCATGCATACCTTCCCTTGTTATGCCCAAATAACTGTTGTGGTTTCATCAGTCCACAGCACCTTATTCCAGAATGGAGCTGGCTAGTCCAGATGTGCTTCAGCAGACCTCAAGCTGCTGTTTGTGGTGTGGGCGAAGAAAAGGCTTCCTCTGCATCACTCTCACATGCAGCATCTCCTTGTGTAAAGTGCACCGAATACTTTCTGTATCCTTCCGCTAAACCATGACAGGGAACAATCTTCGTCTTTAGCTCATGCTGAAGTTGTTTTAGACCCCGTGGTGCTGCTCTACAGAGAATATGCAAATAGCCCCCTTAAATAATCTTTCTCATAACTGGATTCACCTGTGTATGCAGGTGGAGGGTCACTGAGATTTCCAAACCAGTTTTGAGTTTCGATGATTACTTCTAAAGGTTTTGGTATTAATAAAAAGACAACAGTGCCCACATTTAGTTTAATTTTGTTTAAACAACTATTGCACTTTCTGTAAAATCTATGAACGGTTTCACTTCCCAAACATCACTGTGTGAGTCTCCTTTAAGGTATATATATATATATATATATTGTATATATATATATATATATATGAGGAAAGTTTTTAAATAAAGAACAAGAAGAGTTTTCAGCTGTTTTTTAAAGGAGACCACTGAGTCCACTGATCTCAGAGGTATCATGACATTGATATGCCTTTACTTGTGGGACATTTTGTTTCTATGCATGAATCATCAAAGTGTAATTTCAGTCTAAAAGAAAATCCAAGGCTCAGAGGGTCTTCCCTGGTTTGTCCTGCTGTAGACCTTCTCAGCATGTAAATAATTCAACAGGAGGTCATAATGTTTTGACTAAAAAGCTGCAGCCTGAAGCACTGATCAGAGAACAGCTTACCTCATAAACCAGCCCCAGCCTGCGGCAGAAAGCCAGGATTTCAGGATGAGCTTTGTCCAGCAGATGTCTCCTCTCACTGCTCATGTCTGTTTAGAAAGCACAAGACCCGTCAGGACCTGTTAGACCTCTGTGAGACCATCTCTTGCACCGTCTGTGCTGCAGTTCCCGCACCAGAGAGTGTAGGGTGTGTATGACGTTCATGCTTGTGTGTCTTTATGTTGGACATGCTCATGTGTGAGCATGAGGGTGGGAGTGTGTGACTGTCTGTCAGGTGGGGTCTTAAATTATAGCGTAGCAAAAGACCCGGTGTTACATCAAAATGACCAGAAGTCAACTTTTAACTTACAGGCCAAACGTCCTCATACAGGTCAGTGTGACACCGCCGTTCCGATTCCTAACGTATCCTGCACACATCACGAGTCCTCAAGGCTGCAACAGACGCAGGACTTCTTACCTGTCCTCTTTGAATTACGCTTATCTTCCCTATAAGTTTATCACATCACATTTTGTTGAACGACCAACATGTTTCCTAAACTTTACGTTAATTCATTTATTGCCGTCGACGACTAAAGTAATCATTTGCATGTTTTTACTGTGTGGGCGTCGGAACGAGCCCCCGCACCATGAGAACAAACATCAGCTCTAAAGCCGATCTTCATCCAAAAACGTCACACGTCACGTGATCAGGAAGCAGAAAACCCACGTGTTAGATCGTTTTGGGCCGCTGCTGTAAATAATATCGGCACCACGGTGTCACACTGACCTGTAGGAAGAAATTTGGCCTGTAAGTTCAAAGTTGACGTCTGGTCAGTTTGATGAAATACTTGGCCTTTTGGTACGCTACACCCCCAAACTGGAGGAGTGGCTGAAGCAGATCCCAGCAACAACATCAGACATCTCAGTCCAGAATAGTGCAGATCTAGGAACAGCCGAGATGCTGCAGAACCCTCAAGCTGCCAGGCGTCTGGTAGAAGACCCCAGCTTGGAAGGATGAGACCACCCGCTGAAGGTGAGATGGGATTTTTTTATCTACCACACCAGACAAGATCCAAGGCGTAGGCCGTGCCTACGTCCGGTTGTGTGACTTTAGGGAACCCTGATTTGAGTTTCTACGCTGCGTTCCTTGTAAAGTGTTGTTAATAGAGATGGATCTCGCTGTTACCATAGTGTGTGTTACCGGTTCTTTTGACTCTTTCATCTCCTCATCAGTTTTGCCATTTGCCAGGAAGGCAGACACATCGCATAGTCCGCAGTTTTGCTGTCAGTAGATGCCTCTAAGTTCAAAAGTAACTCGTGAGGTGAAAAAGTAGGAAGAGGGGCAGCGTTTTGTTCTGGAGGACTGAGGAGATGCAGGAAGATGAGAGCCAGACAGGAGTGGAAAACAGTCACAGAAACAAAACAAAGAGCTTGAAAAGTCAGATGTGGGTACATTTATCCCGCAACACGTTCTACCTTTAGAAAGCTATCATTTATAAACATGTAATAACTCAGATCACCTGTTAAACTCAGTCCCTCATCCAGGGCCATTGGAAGGCATTTGGGGGGCCAAGGCTAAACAGAGCCCTGCCCTTTACTTTAAGTTGAGGTTCTTTTTATTTTAATATTAGAAATTAAATCAGAATTTTTTAATATTTGCTCTAAAGTCCAAAAGTGAATAATTTATTATTATTATTGATTGTTTGAGCTACCTCACAGAAGTGATGCTAACATACTGCAGTTGTTGAGGCTGCTTTCCGGAGTATTTCTCTTATCCGATGGCGCCATCTAGTGGCTGACAAGAATATCACACTCCTGTGTGTTTAAGATGGCGACTTCACGTTTCTGTTTATAAATGTGCTTCTGTAGCGACAAACAGCTAAAACATGTTATTCTCATATTTATATTTTAGAGACTTTCTTGTCCGTGAAAAGTTCATCAACTCTGCATCAGCCAGGTTTTCCTTACATCTGAAGCATGCAAGCGGTAGTCCAACGCTATTGGTTAGTTCTGGTCAGCGCTCAGTTTCCTATTGCAGGGAGTTCTGCGGGGCAGGGGGCGTGGTTAGTAAAAAACAAAATAACAGACGTATTGCTTACATCATAGCACAGTAGATGATGAGATAATCACTTTTACGGATTTCTGACAAATCATACATCATTTCTGAAAGTAGAAAACTCCGGAGTGATGCTTTAAATGGTAAAATAAAGGTAATTATATAAAAAATTAAGAATATTCTGGATCTGTTTCTTTATTCTTCTTTTATCTATCCAATGTATCAGATCGGGACTCGGTATCAGCAGGTTCTCTAAATCAAGTGACTTGGACTCGAGCGCAAAAAAAACCTTTTCGGGACATCCCTAATAACAACCCAGCCTTAGTTCTTAGTTTAACACAGTTGAGCACTTTTAACACGGTTGAGCTCGTTTTACACTGTTGAGCTCTTTAAGTACTGTTGAGCTCAGTTTACACTGTTGAGCTTGTTTAGCACTGTTGAGCTCGTTTTACACAGTTGAGCTCTTTAAGTACTGTTGAGCTCAGTTTACACTGTTGAGCTCGTTTAGTACTGTTGAGCTCGTTTAGCACTGTTGAGCTCGTTTAGCACTGTTGAGCTCGTTTTACACTGTTGAGCTTGTAGCAATAGATTGCTGTCGACTGCACAATTCTCTTGTGTTTTCCTTGTTCATTAAAAGCTGTTCCCCATAACTTGTATAGGCGAAAGTATCAATCAATCAATCAAAGCTTTATTTATAAAGCGCCTTCTGCAACCCTGTTGGGAAGCCCAAGGTGCTGAACATAGTACATGAGAAAGTTAAATATGGTGAATAAATCGAAAATAAAAGCAATTCAAATTACATATTACAAAAAAGGTAAAACATTCTAGTAGAAGACAAATGGGTAAAACAAGGGACAGAGTGAACCAATGAAAACAGGGAAATAAAATCAACATTAAAGAGGGCCAAATTCAAACACTTTCAGGAAACGCCAAGCGGAGGAGGTGGGTTTTTAGGCGACTCTTAAAGACTGGCAGAGATGGGGACAGCCTAACTGAGGGTGGCAACTGGTTCCAGAGTGACGGTGCTAGGACTGAGAAAGCCCGGTCCCCACGGGTACGACACCTAGAACGAGGGACAGCGCGCAGGCCTTGGTCAGAGGAGCGCAGAGCTCGTGATGGGGAGTGTCTGTTCAGGAGTGTGGCTAGATAGGGGGGAGCACCACCCTGGAAGAAATGATAAACAAAGACGAGGAGTTTGAAGTGTGAATGATAGCAAACCGGAAGCCAGTGCAGGGAGGCCAGAACTGGACTGATGTGGTCCCGTTTCCTGGTCCCAGTCAGGAACCTGGCTGCGCTGTTCTGCACAACCTGTAGGCGACGCAGTGATGACTGACACAACCCTGCATAGAGAGAGTTGCAGTAGTCAAGCCGAGAAATAAAAAATGCATGCAGTACCCGCTCCAGGTGGGCTCTCGACAGCATATGCTTGATTTTTGCAAGGCGTCTCAGGTGAAAGAAACTGGACCGGATCACAGAGTTGATGTGAGCATCAAACTTAAGTCCAGCGTCAGTTTTCACCCCCAGACTGGTGACAACTGATTTTGAGTATGGAGAAAGAGGGCCAAGATCAGCATAACGATCCACATTCCTGCTGTTGGGGTGAAAAACAATGAGCTCTGTCTTTCCCTCATTCAGATGTAGATAGTTGGCCATTAGCCAAGACTTCACCTCATTAACACAGGAGACAAAGGACTGGATAGAGTGACCTTTCTCCTGACACAATGGAGAGTAAATCTGGCAATCGTCAGCATACAGATGGAATGATAGGCCATGTTTACGAAAGATTGACCCCAGAGGAAGCAGATAAATGGCAAACAAAAGAGGACCAAGGATCAATCCATGCTGGACCCCCCCGCGGAGCCCCTCCCAAGAAGAAAAAACATCACCCAGTTTAACGCCGAATGTCCTGTTGTGGAGATATGATCTAAACCAGTCTAGAGCAGACCCTTTGATCCCAACCCATCGTTCCAAGCGATCAAGTAGAATCGCGTGGTCAACTGTGTTGAAGGCTGCCGTCAGGTCTAACAACAGAAGCACCACAGATGTACCCTGATCTAGTGATTGTCATGTTGAGTGGAGTGGAGATGGTAGACCATGTGTGGTGGAGGGTTCAGGAGGCAGGAGAGCAGGCACGGATGAAAAATAAAAATGGATTTAATAGCAACCAGGAACGACAGGACAAACGAGGACATGCACATTCAATGATCCAACGAAGACAGGTACAAGACGGGAGGTGTAAATACACAGGGAGAATTAGGAACACATGGGCATATTAACGAGGGGCAGGTGAGAACAATAGGACTAATTAAGGCAGGAGCGACACAGTCAGGGAGGCCGGGGCAGATCATGACAGTGGTAGATAGATATCATTTAAGACCCTCAGTAGAGCTGACTCTGACTACGTTTACATGCAGCCAATATTCGGGTTATGATCGGGTTAAGGTCGGCATTCGGGTTTCTGAGTGGATCAGAATAACCCGTTTACAAGCATAAATAGAAAGAGTTACCCCTAACTTGCATAACCCAATTTAAATGCGGACGCTGGGGTAGCATCAGGACGTATGCACTACGTCAAGACGCAATATGCGTCATATTTCGCTGTCTCTGCACTTTCGGCTGTCAACAAAAGACATAATGTTCATACTTTTCACCAGACCGATGAAGACAGGTTTCCTCGTCACTCCAAAAGTGTGGTGCTGAGCCGCGACTCGCCATGTTGCTCCCAACTTGTTGTTTACTTCCGGTGTTCTGGCGCATACAAGACGTCTCGCTACTCAGAAGACCAAGATTCTTTGCGAACAGAGCATGCGCAGAACACACGCTTTGATGGGGATATCCCGGTATGCGTTTACACGACCAAACATTCAGGTTAGAAAAGGGTTACCCCAGGTGTAGTAACCGGGTTTTTAAAAACCCGGTTATGAGCATATCCGGGTTTTTGGCGGTGTTTACATGGACCTGCGGAACCGGGTTATTGTGATTATTCGGGTTTTAAAAGGGTTACTGGCTGCATGGCTGCATGTAAACGCACTCTCTGTGCTATGGCCAGACCTGAACCCTGATTGGAAAACCTCAAACAGATCAGAGTCAGCTAAATGTGAGAC